GGACTAGAAAAGCGCTATACAAATGCAGGCCATTTACCATTTACCATTTACCAATAACAGGGTATTTAAATCAAGCGTGCAAACAGATTTTCTAATGTGTGAAATGCACAATTTACTGCTGATTGTGGCAATAATCAATGCCACAAAGAAACTTCTTCATTTGTTTTGCTTGTTATTCAAATGAACTGTTTAGAAAAACAGCACCAATTTTGTATTTCACCTGTAAAACCGACCACATTTATTAGCGCTATTTGGGGATTGCCCTCACATGCTATTTTGCCCTCTTAAGTAAATCTGCCCCTCTGTCGATTAGCTCAGCAATCATTAAACATCTAAATGTTTTCTGACCTTTTGAATTTAAAGAACTCAAGATTTGTCCCCACATTTTACACTGTGTGGCTACAGTGTGCTGTGTGTGTGTGGCATTTGGCGTCACCCTTACTCTTTGAGTGAGGTGAGGTTGGGAAACCCCAAGGGTGATGCGTGAAGACGTCGTTTGATGGTGGAGTGCAGAAGCCTGGCCTGTCTCTGCTCAGTTGCATCCTGGTAGTTCACCATCAGCACCAGCAACAGAAATAACAGCTGCCACACACACTGCTGCAAAAAAAGAAAAAAAGTGTGACGTCTGGGAAGAAAAATTCCCAGACAGAAATAAATCTTAAATATTTTCACCCTCATAATTGACTGCAGTGCTCGGACTTTGCGAGCCTCCTCTTTCGCCTGCAGCAGGCCGTAGCCGCATGGCGGTCGGACCTTCCCGCTCTGCTCTCCAAACGGCCTCACCACAGTGGCCTCCTGAGCCAGCTGCTCCTCCACCTCTGGATCCACAGGTCTCCACAGGACTGTGTAGATCAAGGCCAGCACGCACACCTGAAAAACAGGTGTCAAGAGAGGTTGGATGGAGAGAGATTGAAGTCCTTGCCCCAACTTCCTGTCAGGACATCTGAGAGAGGGTAGAAAGTCTGAACATCCACCCTTATGTGTTAACAATGACAGAACAGAACAAAACAGAGCTTTTTCCTGTTTGCTAACAGTACATCATCTTTATTCATAATCAAAGAGATAATCAAAGGACAAGTCTGATTAGACTGAAATGACTGTTGGAACGTCTGAACTTTGTGTGAGTGCACATGATCCAGCTTCAGCATTGGTAGACTAGTGTGTGACTGCAGGAGTGCGTGAAAGATAAAAACTGTCTCGTCAACCCAACATTATACAAATGCAGGTCATGCAAGTCAAAGGAGTTATAATCTGCCAAAACCCTGAGAGGTGAACAAACTGGACCACATGCTTGACTCACCTTGAGAGGTTCCAGCAGCAGAGCAGAGGTGAGAAAGGCAGAAAGAGCTGATACCAGCCACATGAGTACTACTGTCCTGGAGAAGCAGCTTCCATAGAGTCCCATCACAGCCAGACACGCTCCAAGCAGCAAAGCGAGCAGAGGATAAATGACACGCAGCGCCCAGCGAGGAAGTAGCCTGCCTGGCTGACTCCGAGCAACACCTGTTCAAATAAAATCTCCAAATGTGAATAAAAATTCTAGATAGGATGTTTTTTGTCTCATAGTCTAACAAAAAGATTCCAAACCAGGGTTAACTGTAAAGGGACTCATGGAAATAGTGCTGACTACCTCAGTTTCTTATATTCAGCTTCTCCCCAGTACAGTGCTTTGTGATAGAGAAGGCCTTAAACTTCTATATAGTTAGCTAAAATGATAATTGTGAATTGTATTTGTATATGTAGTATGGGCGGCTGATTGCAGATATGGATCTGCCCTATGGACCTGCTCCATTAATGGGCTGTTGCATTAGGAATTAGGTGCCCACACAGATCTGTTTCCCATTCTTAAACCATCCCAAAACACTTTATTGAAACAGTATCCACTCATTGAAGGAGTGGATACATTTGACAATACATTTGTGGGTACAATTAACAAGAAAAACCTTTTATGGTACCTATGCGTGTTGTGTAGAAGGAACATGTGGAGTCAGGAGAAGTGCTTGGCAGGAAGGTGCTTGCCATCGAGTCTACAGATGGACACTCATAGAGTCCAGTGCCATACTGGGAGTTATCCTCACTGTGCTCTGACCAACTGCTGCAGGAGGTGCTCCGCCTAAAAATAAATAAATAAATGAAAGTTGAAGTGATACAGAATGTTACCTGTCAATAAAGAACGTCATAAAAAGAAATCTTTATTTTCCTTACATGGTTGAGACTGAGGATGTTGTTCTCGGAGAATCCCACCCACTGTCTGAGTTGCTGTTTTTAGCATCTGCTGTGTCGTCTGCTGCTTCAATAGACATGAGTAAATCCTCCTCTGGTACCAAACACAAGAATACAGAATCAGACGTTTTTCAGAAAACTTGGTGTTCCCAGAACAGATTTGGAATCATTTTACTTTAAAGAAAGTCGGCAAGAAAAAGCAAGAAGCAAAGTGCTGGAGACCATTCACGTCAATAGCAGAAATTAATTACGCTTTAACAATTTCTTACCGGAAAGAGTAAGAAGTGTTGTCAGATTGTTGCTGTGAACTTGGACTCGATTGGAGTTCATATCTGGGGATTTGTGCGGTGTCAAGTGAAGCTGCATCAAGGCCTTTTTCCGCTTTAGCTGACGAGCAGATGAAGCCTTGCAGGGGTCAGGGGCTAAGGTTGGCTTGGAGGGGCTTGAACCCACTGGTAGACTGAGTAGGCTGTCACATGATGGCCACGCTACAATGCCATCTTCTTCATGTGCTTCGTACTTCTTGGGCGCCAAACCAGAGGCAGCCCAGAAGTCCAGGATGCTGGAGTCTAAGGCCTTACTCTCCGGCAACTGGAGAAAGATAGAATAACAACTGGAGTTATTCTAAGAAAGAGACAGGAGTAAAATAACAAGTATACTGTGTATGTGCATGTCCTTACGGATGAAGGACTGTCAGTGACTCGGCCAGAGGAATCTGGCAAAGACAGAAAAG